TATCGGCTGGATATCGCTCGATGCTCAACCCCGTTTCTTAGCTATTTTCGCGCCCCGATATTTCACCAGATCTGCCTGTTTTTCCGACCTGCCGAATACACGGTGGAATTAATTGGCCCAGTTTCTCGAAATAGATTACCTCTCTCGCCTCTCTCGTCTCCGCTTTCGCGCGAATCTCGCTTGCGCTACGAAAATTTTCGCACGAGCAAATCGAACGGAAACGCGGGCTGCTCGCGATACGCCGCTTTCGAAAACTACCCCCACGTGCACGTAGCACACTTGCACTTGCACTTGCACTCGCGATCGCTTCGCCCAGCCAAAACCAAAACGCTGGCGGATAATCCGGCTATCCCGATATCTCGTTAAAATAACTCGAGATTAATTAGCGTTAATGAATATCTGGCTATCGCGCGCCGTGCAAACATATTTCAAGTCAGCGGGGAAGAAAAACGAGCCGCGAGATCAGTGAACGTGAACGCCAACCATAATCTCCAACCAGCCGGGCTCTCGTCCAGTTCCTTTTCTTTCTCCAACGTCGTCTCTCGGGCTATCGCAGTATCCAAACGATAACTTTGAACAGTTGCTGGACGCAGCAACTCCTGGAGCAGCAGGTACACAAGGAAAACGAGCGATACACGAGAGGAGACAGGCGAGAGACGAGGAGAGAGGAGGAGTGCGAGCGAGAGAGATGGAAACGATGGCAGTTGAAATTCATGGCACGAGTTTCTCGTTAAACGCAACAGTCTATAATTCACGATCACACCGCGACGCATTCGCCAAGTTTCGCGGAGTCGTCCACGAAAAAGGAGGGGGGCAGAGGGGGAGGAAAAAAAGAGTTGCGAGCGCCTCGCGGTAGGAATAGACGTCGTTGCAACGATGAGGAACAAGTTCTTCTTTGGGAACGGGCGGTTCGACGATGCCAACGGATTTATCGAACCGTAACCCACTAACGTGGATCCTGATTATTTCGATCAATGTTTCCAAGCGTTGCGTTACACTAAGTGACGCAATCACATTTCAGCCAAGATCGATCAACTCCAGAGAAATTGATAGAATGGCACGCTTCAAAGTTCTTCCCAAAATTTTAACCATTTCAAGCTTGAATATGCTTGAAATCACACGCTTGAGCATGCGTAAAATATTTGTGTACAATAAAATACGTAAAACACTTCACAATATGGCACTTTTGAAATAAATTACTCGTTGTCCCACATTGTCATCGAGAAAGAACTTTTGACATTTAGCGGTATTCCAAGTCTAATTATCAGAGAAATATATATTTTCAACGTAAAGTTGGTATTTTCTTTGGTATTAAAATTTTAAAAAATTCAAAAAATACTGCACAATTTCATTGCAGAATTTCGAGCGTTTCTGGAAAATTTCTTTGAAAAGTTGTCATCGTTATCATCACTACTTTCTCCTCCTCGCTAGACTGCGAATTTTCATATATTCCAAAATTCTTATAAATATAACTAAAGAAATGAATAACCTCGGGGAGAGAAACTCGTTTTATCTTCT